ACTATATCCATTTTCTTTTACAAAGTGCTGATCTTGCCGTTTTCTCTTACGTTCATTAATTAGTCGGGTTATCATCATGGTAGCAGCTTTCTTTTGTGAATAACAATATTTATGACATGTACTCTGCACTTTGTATACTGTAAAAAAAGAAATTAAGTTGTATTGTGTGCTCATTTCCTTGACATAGTCTGGTGGCTAAAGCTCTCGCTTCACTCGGCGACAGTCTGGGTTCGATTCCCAGCGAGGGTAGAAATATTAGGCCTGTTTCTTTGCACCGGTTGTCTATGTTCACCCATCAGTAAAATGGGTACCTGGGTGTTATTTGGACTGGTGTGGGTCGCATCCTGGGACACTGACCTAATTTGGGGGAAACGTTCTGCATAACAAAGGTCTTTGTATATAGTAGTATGTCACTGATGTCAGCTGTGGTCTGTATACCTTGTACTTGTACTTGTAGTAAATATATTATTATTATTATTATTATTATATTATTATTATTATTATTATTATTATTTACTGGGGCCCGGTTAAAGCCCTTGTAAATAGCAGCTTTAGGGGCTGTTCAAATTCAAATTCAAAGTTTATTCTCTATAAGGATTACAATGCTGAGTTTACAGAATTTGGTTGTTGTGTGGTTTACATGTAGTAAAATAATAATTACAGAGTGTACCACTAGAACACCTAGCATGGCTAGGCATTTCGGGCAGACTTAGTTTAATTCTTAATTTTAAAATATTACAAATTATGAGGTAAGTTGGTATTATGGCTAAGTGACTAAATACTACTAGATTGTGAGTTTAGCAATGTGAATGCTTTTGTTTTGGCCACAGTACATAGTTTCAGTATTGGAGTATCACAGGATTCATTATTTTAAGATGAGATTAATATTTCTGTTTATGGTCAAATGGGTGAGTGAGTGTAAGTGTGAACCACCAGGTGGTATTCGTGTAGTTAGTTGATGGGGTGTGTCAGGGAGATAAGATGTTTTCTAATGGTAGTTTTTGAAGGTGATGAATGTGTCTGCAGTTCTAGAGTTCTCAGGTAGGGTGTTCCAGATTTTAGGGCCTTTGACATACATTGAATTTTTGTAACCTGTAGCCCGGGGGCTACACAGTACCTGTAGCCCAAGGACCTCACAGTATTATAGCCCGGGGGCTCACAGTACTTGTAGCCTGGGGCCTCACAGTACTTGTAGTCCAGGGCCTCACAGTACCTGTAGCCCAGGGGCCTCACAGTACCTGTAGCCCAGGGGGCCTCACAGCACCTGTAGTCCAGGGGCCTCACAGTACCTGTAGCCCAGGGGCCTCACAGTACCTGTAGTCCAGGGGCCTCACAGTACCTGTAGCCCAGGGCCTCACTGTACCTGTAGTCCAGGAGCCTCACAGTACCTGTAGTCCAGGGGCCTCACAGTACCTGTAGTCCAAGGGCCTCACAGTACCTGTAGTCCAGGGGCCTCACAGTACCTGTAGTCCAGGGCCTCACAGTACCTGTAGTCCAGGGGCCTCACAGTACCTGTAGGCCAGGGCCTCACAGTATCCTGTAGCCCAGGGGCCTCACAGTACCTGTAGTCCAGGGGCCTCACAGTACCTGTAGCCCAGGGGCCTCACAGTACTTGTAGTCCAGGGGCCTCACAGTACCTGTAGTCCAGGGGCCTCACAGTACCTGTAGCCCAGGGGCCTCACAGTACCTGTAGTCCAGGGGCCTCACAGTACCTGTAGTCCAGGGGCCTCACAGTACCTGTAGTCCAGGGGCCTCACAGTACCTGTAGCCCAGGGGCCTCACAGTACCTGTAGTCCAGGGCCTCACAGTACCTGTAGTCCAGGGACCTCACAGTACATGTAGTCCAGGGGCCTCACAGTACCTGTAGCCCAGGGGCATCACAGTACCTGTAGCCCAGGGGCCTCACAGTACCTGTAGTCCAGGGGCCTCACAGTACCTGTAGCCTAGGGGGTCTCACATATTAAATAATTGTAAACTTATCTAAAATTTATTTAGTTGGATTAGGCTAAATTAAATTGCTCTTGTTATAATAAGGCCAGGTAAGTTTTCTAAGGTTCTTTTGGTGCAAAATTATTAATTTTTATATTAAAATAAATGAAAAGATGTATCTTTTAACGTATAGAGAATTCTTTTTAGAAAGGACTTAATTTTAAACGAGTTCTTGCTAATTGGCCAATTTTACTTATTCGTCACGACATATATATAGAACAGTAATTGTTTTAATTCTATGATTTTTTTTCTCCAATTTTCAGAATACAGCTGATATGCTTTTGTCTCCTAGCCACAAAATTTCCGAATTTCAAGATAGCAACCACGAAGAAAAATACATAATAAAAATGAATAACCGTGGCATTAAAAGAAAGAGAAACACTGAATATACTCCACGAAAACGACATTGTGTTATACCGGGGGAAAGTGACGATTTTATGGACGTTGACGAACATGACAACAGTAATGAATGTCCAGCCATGGACGTTGACGAACATAACAACAGTAATGAATGTCCAGCCATGGATTATGACGAACATGACAACAGTAATGAATGTCCAGCCATGGACGTTGACGAACATAACAACAGTAATGAATGTCCAGCCATGGATTATGACGAACATGACAACAGTAATGAATGTCCAGCCATGGACGTTGACGAATATGACAACAGTAATGAATGTCCAGCCATGGACGTTGACGAATATGACAACAGTAATGAATGTCCAGCCATGGACGTTGACGAATATGACAACAGTAATGAATGTCCAGCCATGGATTATGACGAACATGACAACAGTAATGAATGTCAAGGCATGGATTATGACGAACATGACAACAGTAATGAATGTCCAGCCATGGACTATGACGAACATGACAACAGTAATGAATGTCCAGCCATGGACCATGAGAAAATGAGAGCATTAATGAATATCATGCACGGACTATGAGGAACACAATAGAGTCTGACGACCATGTTAGTAGAGAGAAATACAAGTAGATTCTGAACCTGTTATGAGAATATTATTATTATTATTATTATTATTATTATTATTATTATTTATTATTATTATTATTATTATTATTATTGATGATAGTGAGCATCACCTGCAAGAGGTTTACAGGACATTACCCGAATTATTAACTGCAAGTATATAATGTTTACTTCTACAAGTACATAAGAAGAACGAACACTGCAGCAGGCCTACTGGCCCATGCGAAGCAGGTCCATAGCTGACATTAATGATATATATATAAACCTGGAGAAGGTTTCGGGGGTCAAAGCCCCTGCGGCCCGGTCTGTGACCAGGCCTCATGGTGGATTAGGGCCTGATCAACCAAGCTATTACTGTTGGCTGCAAGCAACTCAACGTACGATCCACACCCGGTTGGTCAGGTACTGACTTTAGGTGTTTGTCCAGCGCCTTCTTGAAGACAGCCAGGGGTCTATTTTCGGGTTCCTAACACACACAACACAAAATGAGGGCCATGGGCATTACGGGAAGGTAGGCAGATGTATTTTCGGGTTCCTAACACACAACACAAAATGAGGGCCATGGGCATTACGGAAGGTAGGCAGATGTATTTTCGGGTTCCTAACACACACAACACAAAATGAGGGCCATGGGGATTACGGGGAAGGTAGGCAGATGTATTTTCGGGTTCCTAACACACAACACAAAATGAGGGCCATGGGCATTACGGGAAGGTAGGCAGATGTATTTTCGGGTTCCTAAACACACACAACACAAAATGAGGGTCATGGGCATTACGGGGAAGGTAGGCAGATGTATTTTCGGGTTCCTAACACACACAAAAACAAAATGAGGGCCATGGGCATTACGGGGAAGGTAGGCAGATGTATTTTCGGGTTCCTAACACACACAACACAAAAAGTAGTAGTAAGGAGAGCAAGATCCAGTATCAGCGAGGTCAAAAGTTCAGTGTCCCAAGGCACTGTGCTGGCACCTCCTTCCTCGCCTCGGAACTTGCAGTGGCCGAAATACATCTAGTTTTTTTTTGTGGCGAGGCCTAATCACAGACCGGGCAGCGGGGGCGTAGACTCCCGAAACCCTTCTCGAGGTATTGAAAATTGAGTTAAGCATTGAATATTCTATTAGTGGGATGGATTGTGAAGGACCTGCCTAGTATGGGCCAACAGGCCTACTGCAGTGTTCCAACTTTCTTATATTCTTATGTATACTCCAGTTAACTAAGTTTAAAGCGTTTCCTTACACCTGTTGTCCTGTTCACCTAGCAGCAAGTAGGTACCTGGGTGTTAGTCGACTGGTGTGGGTGGCATCCTGGGGGACAAGATTGAAGACTAAAATGGAAATAAATTAGACAGTCCTTGATGACGCACTGACTTTCTTGGGTTATCCTGGTGGCTAACCCTCCGGGGTTAAAAACCCGATTGTCAAAACCAAAAATATATCAATCCCTGAAACAGGAATTTCTGTACATGCACATTTTTTATGGAGAAAAATAAGCATTTTTTTTTATAAATTTATTATTGTTGTTTTAATATATAACTTAATAAAGAATTTAATTAATAAATTTGTATTATTTTTACATTAATCGGGCAATGTCTGATATAATGGAATTTCACACTTAACTCCTTTAGAGTGGATAGAGTAACTCAATATAAGATGAATGAGGCCATATATAAATGGAATTCTGATGGTTAGTTTCCGAGCAATTGCTAATCTGCGAAAGGGCAGTTAAAACTCGCCCATGCCCGAAATAGGGAGTATAAATTTGAATGTTGCAAACTTGCAATTGTTAATAAAACACCCAATAACTTTTTTTTAAATTTATTATACAAACATACAATATCAAAAACATCAATGGAACTTGTATCAAAACATTTTGTAAGTATTAGAAAAATATAAAAATGAAAGAAATAGCAACAAGGACACATTGCAAAGGTATAAAACTTTCATGTCCCATATTCCTGAGATTCATGAGGAAGAGCAATCATTGTATATTACTAATTGCTAGAATGGGAAGTCTATGAAGCAATTGGAATCTGTCATTATCCTTTTGTGTGTTGTCATTGAAATGGATAGCACGCCTAAGTAACCTAAACCTCTCAGACCCCATGACTTCTGCAACCTGGGGGACCCTAAATGAACCTGCCCAATAGTCTTCGAGTGATGGTGATTGAATAATACCCATGAACAACAAAATACCTATATACCTCATGATCTCTTCAGAATCTGTTGCAAAATTATTATTTGTTTTTTTGCTTGGCATACAAATTTGTTTGAGATGCTATGTTATCTACTATGTCTGGAGTAAAGAAATCACAAAAATACTGATATGGAGACCTAATTTGAAGAGGCTTTTCATGGTCATATGCCGGCAAAGGGTTATTTTGGAGGTCAACCTTGGACCACTTAGGTTCACCTTGAAGAGCAAGATCGTCATAAATATGTTCCTCATCAGGGTACTCCTCGATCATAATGCCTCTCTTTTTCTTGACTAATTTCTGCTTTTTTGGCTGGCCTTTCTTCCTCTCATCTTCACTCGACAGATCTGCGTCTGGTGGCAAGTATTCATCACCACTATCAAGCAATTCAGGGTCATCTACCTCTGGTTCTGAGTCACTGTCATCCAAAATACAGACATATTTTGACCTGGTGCTGGAGGGCTCCCCATAAAACAATTTCTCATTGATCTGGAAGGACAATAAAAACGTTCTGTATACATCCAGACACCTACCGAATTCATATATGCAGTAGAAATTTTTTATAAATATTTATTTTACTGAAAGTGGACTATGTCCCTACTCCTGCAGAGGCAGTCCTGACTGCCCTTCTTTTGTTGCACTTTTTTCACATTATGCTTCACACAGACTTTATGTATATATCAAAATATGCCTAAACTATTCATGTACACACTAAACACAACAATCAGTACTTACCGACATTGTAGAGGGTAAAATCCAAGAGTATATTAGTGACACTAGATGGAAAAAACCCACTCTGGGCGACGCCAAGCCACAAGTGTTTACATTTTGTTCTCTCAACCAATGGGAAGCCGGCAAACGCCATCACAACTTAGCTGAAGCGACTCAGGGAAGGCTTGTGATTGGTCAGAATTAAAGAACGGGAATCCAGATGCGCAGCATGAGTAGGATGACACGCGTAAAGGTGCACGTGTTTAAAGGCAGTCAAAACTGCCTCTGCCAGATAAAGGGTTTATTAAATGGAGGTGGTAAACCCGTAGGGGTCATACAACGCCTCGGGAATGGGAGGAAATTGAATGTGATTAAAGGAAGGCGAAAAGGCGTTAGAAACCTTGGATCTAGAGCCTCACAACAGCATATCAAGGCACCTCACTTGATAAAACCTATAAATTAAAATATATATCTGATCCAGCATATTACATCATTAGCATACCCTACCCTGCAGCGCTGTATTACACCTATGGGTTTAGCGCTTAGTTATGATTATAATAATAAAAATTACATATGATTTAGTCTTACCTTGCAGGTAGTACAGTGATGGTGTCTCAACACACTAGTGAGTCTGCTCGAAGTACAGTGATGGTGTCTCAACACACTAGTGAGTCTGCTCGAAGTACAGTGATGGTGTCTCAACACACTAGTGAGTCTGCTCGAAGTACAGTGATGGTGTCTCAACACACTAGTGAGTCTGCTCGAAGTACAGTGATGGTGTCTCAACACACTAGTGAGTCTGCTCGAAGTACAGTGATGGTGTCTCAACACACTAGTGAGTCTGCTCGAAGTACAGTGATGGTGTCTCAACACACTAGTGAGTCTGCTCGAAGTACAGTGATGGTGTCTCAACACACTAGTGAGTCTGCTCGAAGTACAGTGATGGTGTCTCAACACACTAGTGAGTCTGGTCGAAGTACAGTGATGGTGTCTCAACACACTAGTGAGTCTGGTTGAAGTACAGTGATGGTGTCTCAACACACTAGTGAGTCTGCTCGAAGTACAGTGATGGTGTCTCAACACACTAGTGATCTGGTTGAAGTACAGTGATGGTGTCTCAACACACTAGTGAGTCTGGTCGAAGTACATGTGATGGTGTCTCAACACACTAGTGAGTCTGGTCGAAGTACAGTGATGGTGTCTCAACACACACTAGTGAGTCTGGTTGAAGTACAGTGATGGTGTCTCAACACACTAGTGAGTCTGGTTGAAGTACAGTGATGGTGTCTCAACACACTAGTGGTCTGGTTGAACTGTTATACTAGTAAGTCACTGACTGACTCGTACGGTAACTATTTTAACTCTTAAAACTGTCCACTCACATCTACGTTCACATGTGTGGTGTTCCAAAAGTAGATCTGCGCTTTTTTACATATTTTTAATAACAAAAAAAAGTAGATCCAAGTTTTTTTTTACACGTTTTCAAATGTAAGAAAAAATGGGATCTACGTGTTTTTACATACTTTCAAATGTTGAAAAAACGTAAATCTACGTTTGGACAGTTTAAGGTTAATTGTCATAACTTGTAGATCCACGTTTTGATTTCTGTTCACACGGAGGACACATTCCTTATTAATCTCTTAACACTTTGCTTCTCTCACTCTGAAAATATTTTTTTTTTATTCGTCGGTATTCTCCCGGCCCGGGTCTTTTCCAAGTAGTGGTGACCCGGCCTTGGCTCCCTCTCTGGGGAGTGTCTCGAGACGTAAGTCTCCCATGGGAGGAGGCACAAGTACCCCCTCATCTCCGGGACCAACTGTCCCCAGGCCTAGCCACATTCTCCCGCCCTCACGGGGTTCATAGGGAGAAGCTAGGCCTCTGGTCTGCCATCTACCCCGCCTCAAAGGGACTCGTGGGGATGGCAGTCTCATGAGATGCAGGTGGTAACAAGCTCAGGCCTAAAAAAAAAAAATAATTAACAGTATGAATTAGGGAAATTATAATCCACAAACTATAAATTTTCTTATTCTACTATTTTATAGTAATCTGACACAGATGTAACCATTTATTTGCTACTAATATTATTACACTTTGACTTAATATTATCATAGTTTAGTATAATAATATTAATATATTGAGGTCACCAATTAGCAAATTACATGAATAAGGATGGAAATTGGGTGTTAGATAAGTGCAGGAAGTACCAGTCATGGTGTAACTCACCCATACGGGTCTAACGCCCTGTGCGAACATAAATAATATTTTTTTTTTTTGCAACACAACCGGCCGTCTCCCACCGATGTAAAGTAACCCGACAAAGAAGAAATACTTTCACCATCATTCACTCCATCGCTGTCTTGCCAGAGGCAACTCCTACAGTACACCTCAGATGCCTCTACAATCTACAATATTTTCACCCTAATAATAATAAGAGTATTAACAAGTATATAGCAATCGTAATACTAATTTAATACAGTAACAAAAATATAACATTACTGCTAGTAATAAATATGGTGCCCCGTGGCCTGGTAGCTAAAGCTCTCGCTTCACACGGCGAGGGTTCGTGTTCGATTCCTAGTGAGGTAGAAACATTGGGCGTTTCTTTACACCGGTTGTCTATGTTTACCCATCAGTAAAATGGGTACCTGGGTGTTTAGTGGCCTGGTGTGGGTCGCATCCTGGGACAAAACTGACCTAATTTGCGGGAAATGCTCAGCATACAAGGGACTTTCTATATAGTAGTATGTCATTGATGTCAACTATGGTCTGTATACCTTGTACTTGTAATAAATAAAGATATTATAATTACCCTTGCTGCTGTTGCTCTCTTGACGCCCTTCCACTACACTACTGCCATGATATATAACGTTAAGTAATTAATTTCATTCTCCTGTTTGGTACTGGTCTCAAGACCATGTACACACATTAATGCATCCAGGAAACAAGTGGTTTAAAGCACTGTGAAACTGGTATCCAAACTTGAGGTCACAGACCCGGTCTAACCAAAGATGTATAAAGTTGTAGCAATCTTAGGACTTTTGTTATTTGTATTTCTTTACGTAAAGCCAAGAATTCTATAAGCTTTATTACAAAACACTTACACACTGTTGTCTTAGGTTGGTGGTGGTTGACTGTTCGCAACTGCAGCATAAGTAGGTGACTTGGAACATAATTTCTTCTGCTCCGCTTCTTGGGTCTTTCTGACAACGTCACGACCATTGGGCGTCTCGCAGCAAGTGTTTGGTGGTCATTCTTGCAGTTGAGGCACTAGGGGTGTAGTGGCGGCACAGCTCTTGAAAACGGCCCTCAGACCCACAGGTAGACAGAACTTAGTATCCTTCCTTCCTTGCTTCCTTACTTTTGTGGCATGGAGATATGAATAACAGCTCCAACATTGAGCGACATGATGAAAACATTCAGTTTCAATGTGGTGGGAGTTGATTTAAAGTAGTAAATGGCTAGACTGTCAGACAGCTTGGACAGCCATAGTCACATCCGTGAATGTGTTTTTCAGCATAGACGAGGCCGCAGGAATCTTGGTGACTTGTTCACCCTTCGTCCAGGGATTTTGGTCTTCCATTGAGGTTTTCAAGACGTCGAGAGGTGATAAATTTATCAAGCCTCTTGAGGAAAACGGAACGTTTGGCTCGATTGGCAGGAGAGGACATTGACGTGAGAGCCGTGGTCAGTGAGAGTTGTCAGCGCTGAGGAAGCAAGTAATTTGTCAGCTTCGACGTAAATAAATGGTATCAAATACGACATAGTGGAAATATAAACACATATGCAGTATAATATGATCCTTTATTGACGTTTCACTCACACAGTGGGCTTTTTCAAGTCACACACAGATCTGTGTGTGACTTGAAAAAGCCCACTGTGTGGGTGAAACGTTGTCAATAAAGGATCACATTATACTGCATATGTGTTTATATTTCCAGCTTCGACGTATTGTCGCAAACTGCAATGAATGATTCAAAGAGTCGGGACATGCCTGTGGAATGTCATATTCAGGGTTTTAAATTGTTCCAAGTAGATAGAAGTATCGGGAAAGGGGGTGGGGTGGCATTGTATGTCCGAGATCGCTTGAACTGCTGCATAAAAACGGGTATTAAGTCTGAAGTAACACATACAGAGTCTGTTTGGTTAGAATTTTCAGAGGGGCATGAAAAACTGATTTTAGGAGTAATATACCGTCCCCCAAACTTAGATAGGGACCAAGGGAGACTACTATGGGAGGAAATTGTTAAGGCCACAAGGCACGATAATGTAGTAATTCTAGGAGACTTTAACTTTAGTCACATTGATTGGAATTTCTTGACTGGGAATTTAGAATCATACGACTTCTTAGAAGTAGCTCAGGATTGTTTTTTGAAGCAGTTTGTGACAGAACCTACAAGGGGAAATAACCTGCTTGACTTAGTTATGGCAAACAATGAATCCCTTGTTAATAATTTAGAAATTTCAGAGGAACTGGGTGCTAGCGACCACAAATCATTTACATTTAGCATTGAATGGAAGTACGATAGTAGCGATAACTCAGTAACAGTCCCAGATTTTTGCTTAGCAGATTACGATGGCTTAGAGAACACTTATCATCTGTTGACTTTGGTAACGAAGTGAGCTATCAATATGACAGTTTTCTGAACACTATACATGCTGCTCAAAGAACGTTTATCCCATATACAGAAATTAGATCAAATAGAAATGATCCAAATGGATGAATAATAGACAAATATCTACTAGGGCATAAGAAAGGAATTTATAGGCGTATCAAAAGAGGTGAGGGTCATCTTATGAATCAGTATATTGACATTAAGGGGGGACATTAAAAACGGGATAAGAAAAGCCCAAAAGGGACTATGAAATTTTAAAATTGCTAAGGATTCTAAAACAACCCAAAAAATTTTTTCCAGGTCTATAGAACAAAGTTAGAGATAAGATAGGTCCCCTTAAAAATAACTATGGGCACCTTACTGACAAAGAGAATGAAAAAGTTTCTCGATTTTAAATAATTATTTTCTCTCAGTTTTTACACAGTAAGACACTAACAAATTTCCATAATTAATTTTTATAGTGGGCTAGGAAGAAGAAAAAATTATTTTAACATCACAGTCACTAGTGAAAAGGTTGTGAAGCAGATAGACAGACTGAAGCAAAATAGTCGCCGGGTCCTGATGAGGTTTTTTTCAAGGGTTCTAAAAGAATGCAAAATGGAACTCTGTGAACATTAACTAATTTTTTAACTTATCTTTCAAACAGGTGTAGTGTCTGATATGTTTGGAAGATGGCTAATGTAATTCCTATTTTTAAAACAGGGGACAAGTCGTTACCGTCAAATTACCGCCCAATAAGCCTGACCTCAATTGTAGGCAAATTTTCTAGTCAATTATAGCTGAGATTATAAAAGCCATCTCGATAAGCATAGCTTGATTAAGGATACTCAGCATGGATTCACAAGAGGCCGGTCTTGTCTAACTAATTTATTAACTTTCTTCAGCAAAGCTTTTGAGGCTGTTGACCACGATAAAGAATTTGATATTATTTACTTAGATTTTAGTAAGGCTTTTGATAGAGTTCTGCACCATGACTGTTAAAGAAAGTGTGGCAGCTCATGGCATTGGGGGAAAAGTGCTCTCGTGGATCGAGTCATGGCTCACTGACAGGAAGCAGAGAGTGTCCATAAATGGGGTTAAATCCGAGTGGGGATCTGTAACAAGTGGCGTTCGACAGGGATCAGTCTTGGGCCCGTTGTTGTTTATAATATATATCAATGATCTTGATGAGGGAATTACTAGTGATATGAGCAAATTCGCCGATGACACAAAGATAGGTAGGATAATTGATTCAAACGTAGATGTTATGGAACTTCAGAAGGATTTAAACAAACTCTATTCTTGGTCAGAAAAGTGGCAGATGCAGTTCAATGTAGATAAATGCAAGGTTCTGAAGCTTGGGAGTGCCCATAACCCTAGTACTTGGGAATATAAACACATATGCAGTATAATGTGATCCTTTATTGACTACGTTTCGCCCACACAGTGGGCTTTTTCAAGTCACATACAGAACTACCTGGGGTGGAAGGAACGCGAGTATTTATAGTCCGGTTAAGAACACTGTAGGTCTGC